CTAAGATTTTTGGAGCCAAGTACAAGAATTTCGTTTTTTTCTGAGTTTAACATCAGAAAATTGCAGCTCATCCAGGATTCTATGTCCTTAAGACATGTTTGTAATTTATATAATTGATTAATTTCATCGGGCTCAATTGATAGATATGACTGCGTATCATCTGCATAACAGTGAAAGTTAATGGAGTGATTCCTAATAATTTTGCCTAAAGGGAGCATATATAAAGTAAATAGTATTGGTCCAAGTACAGAACCTTGTGGAACTCCATGACTAACTGTAGTATTTATTGAAGATTTGTCGTTAACATGTACAAACTGTGAACGATCTGATAAATATGACTTAAACCAGCTTAGTGCGGTTCCTTTAATGCCAATTTGATGCTCAAGTATCTGTAAAAGAATATTATGGTCAATGGTGTCAAATGCAGCACTAACATCTAATAATACAAGTCCATTGTCTGAAGCAATCAAAAGGTCATCATTTACTTTAACCAGAGGTGTCTCTGTGCTGTGATGAACTCTAAATCCTGACTGAAAATCCTCAAATAAACTACTGTTATGTAAAAAGTCAAACAACTCTTTGGCGACTACCTTCTCCAGAATCTTAGAGAGGAAGGGGAGGTTAGAGATTGGTCTATAGTTGGCTAAAACCCCTGGGTCAAGAGTGGGCTTTTCAAGAAGGGGTTTAATTACAGCTACTTTAAAGGACTGTGGTACATATCCTGATAATAAAGAAAGATTAATCATATCCAGTAAAGAAGTGCCAATTAAGGGTACAACTTCTTTAAGCAGCCTAGTTGGGATTGGGTCCAACAGACAGGTTGATGGCTTCTATGTAGAAATTATTGAAGTTAACTGATGAAGATCGATAGCAGAAAAACAGTCTAAATATATATCTAAGTTTACATTAGTTAAAGTTCCTGAACTTGGAGAGCCACTGATAACTGTTGATGGCAGTTGGTGATCAATTTTCTCTCTAATAGTAATAATTTTATTATAAAAGAAGCTCATAAAGTCGTTGCTACTTAAGTTTATGTGGATATGTGGCTCAATAGAGCTGTGGCTCTCTGTCAGCCTGGCTACAGTGCTGAAGAGGAACCTAGGGTTATTCTTATTTTCTTTTATTAGTGCTGAATAATAGGCTCCTCTGGCTTTACGGAGGGCCTTTCAGTAGGTTTTAAGATTATCTTGCCAAATTGAGCGATATTCTGATCATTTGGAAGAGTGCCATTTCCTTTCAGATTTCCTACCTTTTTGCTTTAATTGGCGGGTAGAAGCGATAGACTCTTATGTTCTTCGTAGTGAGCCTGCAGCACTATCAACAAGATTATCAATTTCGGAGGGACTAAAGTTATTATAGGACTCTGTTAAATTCAGACATGGCATTGAATTAAACACTGAAGGAATCTCCTCCTTAAATTTAGCTACAGCACTGTCAGATAGACATCTGCTGTAGGAAGTTTTGCCTAATGGCTTATAATCTAATAGTATGAATTCAAAAGTTATTAAAACATGGTCAGATAGGAAAGGATTATGTGGGAAGAGTATTAAATGTTCAATATCAATGCCATATGATAGAACAAGGTCAAGAGGGGGATTAAAACAATGAGTTGGTTTATTTACACTCTGATTGAGTCTATTAATGAGATAAAGGCGTTACTAAGGCTGTCATTGTCAACATCCACATGAATATTAAAATCACCTACAATAATTACTTTTTATTTAAGGACTAAACTTGATAAAAACTCAGAGTATTCAGATATAAAATCAGAGTACGGTCCAGGAGCGCGTTACACTATAACAAATAGAACTGGCTGCAGTGTTTTTCAGTTTGGGTGGGAAAGACTAAGAACAAGGCTTTCAAATGAATTATAATTTAGTTTAGGTTTAGGGTCCATTAAAACGCTCAAATCATATATGGCTGCTACTCCACCTCCTCGGCCAGTGCCTCGAGGAATGTGAGTATTAATATGACTGGGGGGGGTGGATTCATTTAGGCTAACATACTCCTCGTGGGACAACCAGGTCTCAGTAAAACAAAGCAAATCAATATCATAATCTGATATTATTTAATTCACTAAAACAGCTTTAGAGGACAGAGACCTGATATTTAACAGTCCACATTTCATTCTCTTATTGTGTGCTACTGAGGAGTTAGTTTTAATTTTTATTAGATTTTTATGTTTAACTATTTCTTTAAATAATTTAGGTGGTCAGGGGACAGACACAGTCTCTATGGGGTTTTGGGTGGGTGACTGTTCTAAAGAAAGCACAGAGAAGTGTGAAAGACAGCAGCTCTGCTTCCTGGTCCCAACTCTGGACTTTCAGGTTTTAGATGTTTTCAGACTCTCATCAGAAATGTAAAGTCTGGTGCAGACTGGACAAAGTACACTCAAGTTACCTGGGCTATTGAATTTCTGGACATGATCCATGTGCATACCAATTTCATACATTTCCGTGACAACATGGATTCTAGGCCCATCTTTAATTATACAGTTGTGGACAGAGTAAATAGCGATGATCATCATGGACCACAAAAGCAGACAGGTGCTCTGCTTAGTCTGCTTAGATTCAGAGCATCTGTGTGCAAGTGTCAAAACAGAGAGAATGAGAACTGCAAAAAAAATGCTTATACAATAAAAGATGCTGAAGCCCATATCCTTATATTTGTTATGTTTGTGTCATGAATACATTGATAGGATACACTGAGACCAAACTCAGACACTTTGTACTATTTTTGTACAGTGAAGCCTAGATTTTATCATTATTCAGTGTAATCTTCATAAAATTGTGGAAAATTTGCTGCTTAAATTGATTTAAATCTTAGAATATGTAAATGAAAAAGTCTTATTCAGTACTTTACAGTTACCCTGCTCTATTTAATATTTAGCATGATTAAACTGAAAACTACTGTAAGAGAAAGATCATTTCACCATTCATTAACAGGTCAGTTTAAGTAAGTAAAGCTTTATTTATATAGCACTTTTTAACACGGCATTACAAAGTGCTTTACAAACAACATGCAAACATACATATATGTCTATATATATATATATGCATATATACATATAAATATGTACATGCATAACCATACCCAATCAAACATTTGAGGAGCGACATGGCCGAGGAGTATAGATGCAGCATCTATAACTGAATATATACAGTAAATCAGGCAAACAAAGTGATATATTCCTACTTTTTTTCTTTATTTTTTTATAGACATTTATATTGAGATTACCATATGTACTGTTGAATATGTATTCCTATCTAAAGTTGTACATTTCTATGAGGTCCTACATATATGGCATGCAGTGGAAAAGAGATGTAAATCTTAAATGCCAAACTGATGATGATATGACTAGGAGTGGAATGGTTCAGGAAAATCATCCCTATCATTTGGTTTGCTAGTCAAGGTTCGGGTCATGTATGTATTGTTCAGTTCCTTTAAAACAGGCTATAAGGTCAAAAAGGCATTTTAAGAAAAGAAACAAGGGACAGTGTTTCCGATCAATCATAGACAATGGCTGGCCGCTACGGTCTGATTTATGCCGTCTCAGTTTCATAATGAACAGATCATAGGTGTGTGGATGTGTGGAAAAGAGTAGTGAAGGGAGCAAGATAAGCAGATTAAAGCAGTTTGAGAGTTCTGTAGTAAATTAAGTAAGTAAGTACAGTAAAAGAGAAATTAATGTACTAGAAAAAGGTTAATGTAGCCTTTTCTTTCAAATAGTTTCAATAGATGAGTATAAGTTCAGCATATGATTGATAATGTTGCAGTTTTTATGTTAAACTAAAGCAGTATTTTTGTTTGCACTAATTAAACAACCTATTATTTTAATAAGGACATGAGAATGTTCTGTATGTTACTAGTTAGAATTCTGGCTATGCAAACAACATTTTAAGCCAAATAAATAAATGTAACACATGATGAAAAAGACAGTGTTTGTGACCCCAAAACAGAAATATGAACCAAACTGTGATTTTTTGTGAACCCTTCCACCCCTAGATATTACTGACATTTGCTCTCAAATAATGAGTCAAAAGAGCCTAGAATGAGTGAAATCTCCTTGAAAGATTTTCCCAGAAATGATCATTCTGAAAGCTGATCGAAACCAGCTGTAAAAGAAAGCATAGACCAATGGATTGAGCATTGAATTTGACCATCCAAGCCACTTAAATGCTGCAATCATAGCAACAGGTATTGTGTAATTACTCAAAGGGTTAAAGGTCATACAAAGAAAGAAAGGAGTCCAACAGATGAGGAAAACTCCCATTACAATAGCCAGAGTTTTGGTGGCCTTCCTCTCCTTCTTAATTTCAGACTTTGTGCTCTGACAGGTTGCGTTGTGGATGCTGTGTGCCTGTCTCTGTGCCACCATCATAATCTTTAAGTAGATAGTGACCATTACAATAGCTGGGAAATAAAACCCAAAAACAATTGGCATAATTGCTGAACTTAAATTCTGAAATAAAACACACCTGTTAGATTGTCCTTTGTTCACTCCCAAAAATGTCATGATAATTCCATTTATAGCAGAAACAGTCCAGCTCACCAGGATCATGATCACAATAACATGGACATTTATTTTAGCTCTGTACCTCAGAGGCTTACACACTGCATAATATCTGTCAACAGAAATAGAGCACAAATTCAAAATAGAAGATGTACACAGAAAGATATCAAAGCTGTTTCGAACCTTACAGAGTAAATCTTCAAGATACCAACAAGAGCTCACAGCCAGTATTGTGCTAAAAGGCAAAACTGTAAGCCCAACAAGCAGGTCAGCTACTGCGAGAGACAGGATGAGGTAGTTTGTAGGAGTGTGGAGCTGTTTGAAGTAAATGATGGAGGTTATTAAAAGAAGGTTTCCACACATTATAAGAACTGATAAAGAGCCAATAAAAACACACAATAAATATGTTGTGGTGGTGAGTGCGCTCATACCAGATACATTTTCTGATTGATTACAGAAATGTTTGTCCTCAAAAAAATCATCAGACCTGTTGGCAAATAATTTAGGTTCCATGTACAAGTGATCCTTAAATCAAGAAAATGAACAGTGTCTAGTTTTCCGTAGAGAGACTTTCAGATCATTTTAGTTCTCTGTAATCAACCCTGGTTAGTGCATCTGTACTGATGGGAGTCCCTGCCCTCTGTGCCACTGAGCACACACAGATTAGATTTATTATACTAGGCTCATTTGCATATCATGTTCAAGGGAGTGGTATTCCATGTAGATCAAGAGGTGTATGTTCATGCATGTGTCCAATCTCTTAAATCCATACACAATTTTAAATTATCACTTTTAAATTAATTTGCACAACTTTAAGAAATTAGTTTTTAAGCAAATACATTTCAAATGTCACAATTACAATTAAGTTACACAATTACATAGAGATCAATTTCATCCTGGGCCATGAATCAGCATGAACCTTTACATAAGGAGTTTTTAAGTAGTTACAAAACAGTCTCAGATTGGCTATTTCTCTGTTACTCTTAAGGTCTGATTCCCCACAAATCAGAGAGTCGTTTTTAAAAGGAAGCAAGAAGAGAATTTTCTTTTTCATGTCATATTTTTTGGCTAAAGCTGATACTGGGGCAGGATCAGGAAGGAGAGAAAAAAAAACAGTTAAAAGGACAGTGAGCATGGGCAAAAACACAAGTCAACCTTGGTCATTAAACAGATGGACAGAATTGCAGGATTTGAAAGTGTGATAGCTCAGCTATGTTGTGGTTGAATTTTTCTTGCCTCAATGCACCTGACTCTCGTGAGAAACCACAAACTACCACTGAAGGTACCCAGAATGGTGACACAGGCTCACAGAAAGCAAAGGGAATTGACAATTTCACTCCATGTGCAAGATTTTTTTGCATCACACAGGATACAAGCAAACCGAGGTGTCCCATGATACAACTGACTTGAACAAAGAAAATCACTCTATTGCCTCTTTCCCAAAGAATGTAGCCTTTTTCCCAAGGATGTCTATTTGTGACGTCTAATTAAACGCCTTTAAAATTAAACATGGAATAACACAACATAATATAGTTTCCTTCATTATCAAAGAACCTGATCCCTGAATGCATTTTTCCACTACAGCTACAATACAGGTACCACACAGAAACAATTACAAATACCTGTGAATGTACTTCTAGTGACTGTAAAAGCTCTGGTGGACTTAAAGAGTCAGATAGTAGCTGTTCATGGCTGGTTAGCTCTGATTACCAGTTTACTGTTCCTGCCATAGCACTGTGGCCAGTCTGACTCTCACTCCAGTTGGTGTTGAGACCATATTACCAATGTTGTAATTACACTTTAATCTTACATAGCCACATTTGTAACCTTTCATTCAAAACATCAAGCTTCATGATCAAAGAGAGTTTTTGTCCACATGAGCTCTCTCTCAACTTCCTGTGTCCCTGAGTATGAGCATATTTGTGTGGTTTCCAGCAGGAACTGAAACTGTTCAGTCCAATTCTGCTTAAATTTAAGGATGTATTTAGATTTTTTAAGTCCTGACATTTGTTGCTACTGTTGTCACTGTTGTCTGTCTGTTTCTCTCTCTCTCTCTCTCTCTCTCTCTCACACCCCAACTGGTCGAGGCAGACGACCACCCACCTAGAGCCGAAGGATCTGTCCTAGGTTTCTGCCTTTTAACAGGCAGTTTTTCCTTGCCCTTGTCGCCAAGTGCTTGCTCATGGTGGTACTGTTGGGTCTCTGTAATTAATGTTTTAAAGAGTTCGGTCTAGACCTGCTCTATTTGAAAAGTGTCCTGAGATAACTTCTGTTATGAATTGACACTATACAAATAAACTTGAATTGAATTGAATTGAAAAGTGTGCGCAAGAGCTGCTTGAACACCGAGGAAACCGACCGATTGGGAGTACGCCCCATGACTGCTTGCACAACGCCATGGAGCAGCCAACTGCGGATGATTCAGTCGGTCCTCCAGTTGTTCCAAAAAGACCCGTTATGGTAAAGCAAGATCAAATCTACCGCCGTCAACATCACCCTAAACGAAGTGCGTCAGCTGACGTGGCACCTTGTCAGCGTATGTGCACTGCTGGCGGACCTCACAGACAAAATGCAGAAGGAGCTGGGGAACATAGGGATGATCCTCCCGGCTGTCAGTGAGATCAAATCCCTGTTTACCAACACTGCACTTCCCATGGGCATTTCTGCTTTTGCAGAAACACTGGCTAATAATGTGTCAACTCGCTACGGAAGGAAAATGTATTTAAGGCAAGTACGTTTTATTTACAAGTCAACATTATAGGCTTGGCCTAATAGTTTATTTAGTTTTAAAACTGGGATAACTTGCATTTTGTAGCCTATTTATTTGAGTTAAATGTGCCTATTGATTCATCTAACCCCTGATCCTATTGGTTTAAAAATAAAACATTTTAAATTAATAACTTGTGGTCTCACTGTTTTTGTCGGCTTAAAAATTAAACATTACCCTTATGTCTTAGTTGAGTTGGGTTGTGGTATTTTTTAAATGAAATGAAAACACGTAGTCTGGGGAAAAACGGCCAAGCTCATGTTTTATTTGTGAATAGAAGATTGCAGGTGAGGGTTGTACAATGCAGGGTTTTTTTTTGTGGTGAGCGAGTGGAGCGGGATAAAATTCATGATGGAGTGGAGGGGAGAGGAGCGGAGAATGCGCAGAGCCAGGCGGAGCTGACGAGCGGCGCAAATTGACAGGTCTGTGAGCAAGAAGTGAAAATTTTCACTCGGTCTGCTCCGCTCACATGCTCTGGTTGCAAGTCTGTTTTGTTTAATTTGTGTTGAAAATTACTTTTTGTTCATCCTGATCACTATGGAAATTTCACGTCATGGTGTTTTTAGCCGGCCAAATAAACAAAGGATGAAGAGGAAGTTTTTTTGGATACAGCTAGTGCTTTACATGGCAGATTTTTCTCTTGTGTAACTAATTGCACCATTCCTGTGGCCCTGGTCCGGTCTGGCAATATTGCTAGCAATAATAACTTGTATTAGCTAAGACAATTTATGTTGATTTTATCCAACAATAAATTATGCAAGGATGCAAAGGTGTATAACTAGTAACTGCGTTAGTAAAGTGCGATGCAAGGCAGGGGTAGCCAAGTGTAGTCTAAGATGTGGTTGACCAGCTGTCTGTAGCTCGGCTGCGTGGCGTAGGTCTGGCGTTGTTTGCTTCATTGCGCTGGCTAATTTGGTGATTTGTAAACGGCAAGCTAGTTAGTATCATGGAGCCAATGGTCCAAATAGACAGGATTCTTACTGCAGTTAACTAACAACAGTTTAGAAAGGGTGTTAGTATAATAATATGGGACATCTTTGAGTTAATGCAACACTGCTAGCTACTACAGAACTGTCAGCTGTTTACAAACACAAAAAAGGTCTGTATCATTGAGAGTGGCCAGGTGAAGGCAGATACAGACAAAATCTGAGCAACAGCAAAGTGGCCAAAACCCTCATCCCATAAAACAACTAGGGTTGTTCTCATTTCTACCTTTTCATTAGATACAACAGTAGGGTAATGTCTTAACTCACATTGGGCAATATTGGTTTAAGTTTACTCTCAACTACAGACCTGGTTCCAGAAATGTAAAGCCTTGTGCTCTCCTCACCAGCATGTTTCCTGGGAGATTCAATCCATTGTGAGAGAAGTTCAGCACAGTCAACTTAAGCCTGGTTATGGATCTCCTACCCGCCTATATGGTCCTGATTCTGCTCAATCCCCAGGTCCCCTAGTGGGTGCACACTTTTGCCACCAGAAGTTGCTTTCAAGATTCAAGAGGTTTATTGTCATATGTACAGTAAGAAACTCAGTGGTTTATACGTACAATGAAAATCTTACTTTGCCTGACTCTGTTTACACACCACACAAATAGACAAATAGAATAAAGTTGAAATGTAAACATTAAAATATAAGATTAAAATATAAAAATTAAAATATAAAATATAACTAAAATAGTAAGGCTGCAAGCAGCGTTGGGCGGGACCTCGCACTCCACGCAACTCAGGGTGTGCTGCGGCCATGTCACGTGCTGTCGTTACACGTGCGGACCACAACATGAAAATTTTACGTAAATCAGTTCAGAATCGCCACGCAGGGCTTACTTTCTGTTGCCAGTAGGTGGCGCTATTACTATGTCTGAATATTGTCATGTAGACATGTTCAAGGCAGGACTGTTTTCAAACACGTGAAGTTTCATTAAGATCGGACCATGTACACAAAAGTTGTGAGGACGTGTTACAGAATATGTGACGTTTAGTGGACATGAGTTTATCATGTTAGTTGAGTACTATCTGTTTCATGGCCAATCGGCAAAATTCAACACGTCGTCACGGGCACGCAGTTCGATATGCAGTCACAAACAGCACAACTTTTGATCAGCAGTATTTTTTAACTGTATTGACCAATTTTAAAGTTGATCCGATGAATTCCATCGTAGGGGTTTGTTCAAATACAACACGAAAAATCAAAGAAAATGACAGAAAAATTCCAAATGGCTGACTTTGATGCCACGCCATGGACACGCCCTTTAATGTACATGCACAAATAGCACAACTTTTAATCAGCAACATTTCCTATCTGTACTGACCATTTTTGAAGTAGAGCCGATGAATTCTCTAGGAGGAGTTTGTTCAAATACAACGCAAAAAATTCACTGAAAATTAGCACGGAATTCAAAATGGCCAAGTTTGATGGCATGCCATGGACACGCCCTTCAACGTACATGCACAACTAGCACAACTTTTAATCAGCACCACTTTTTGACCATACTGACAAATTTTGAAGCAGATGCGATGAATTCTCTAGGAGGAGTTCGTTCAAATACAATGCGAACATAGATGCAACGTGAAAAATCTTGTGCGAATCGGACAAAGCGCATAGGAGGAACACGAAAAAGTAGCTTATGGATATTTCGCACTCTAGCGAAAAAAAATTAAAGGCGGAAGTGGGCGTGGCCTATATGGGGAGATTCAGCTTCATTCACAGAACGCGTGGATACAAGGTTTTTGAATGTGCGACAAATGATGCGGGAGTTATTAGCCTAAAGGCACTTTTGCGGATAGTGGCGCCACCTAGTTGTGGACCCAAAAGCGTCACATAGAATATCAAATTTTTCACCAGGCCTGACCACTTTGCCAAATAAAGTGAGTTTTCGTATATGTTAAGGGGGACAAAAACGCAGTCAAAGGCGCTAAAAATAATAATAGGTAAGAAGAAGAATAAGAAACAGCAAATACAATAGGGATCTGGGCCAGCTGCCTTCCGTGGGTTTGTTCTCCTCAGAGCAGAGCGCACCTCTACCGGTGACACAGAGAGCGGTGTGTCCAGTAGGCCCTCTGTGGTCCAGTCTCTCCCTGTCGGCTGGCGTTGAGGGCCTCGAAATGAGTGTAGAACTCGTTGAGATCATCCGGTAGTGTGACTCTGCTGGTTGAGGCACCAAACTCTTCTGTTTGCAGTCTGTGATGTGTTGCAGACCTTCCCACATGCTCTGTGGATCAGCAGTGGTGTAAAATCCCTCCAGCTTCAGTCTGTATTGTCTCTTGGCCTGTCTGATTGATCTATGCAGGTCATATCTGCCCTTTTTGTAGTCCTCAGTGTCATCTGAGACAAATGCAGCAGAGCGAGCACGTAGCATTGACCGCACTTCACGGTTAATCCAGGGTTTGGTGTTGGGGAAGGTCTTGCAGTGTTTAGTGGGGATAATTAGCAAATGCTAATGTAGCCAGTTACAGCTACAGCATATTCCTGTAGGTCCACAGTGCAGTCGCTTCTCACAGCAGCAGATTTAAACACACCCCAGTCCGTACTGTTAAAGCAGTCCTGAAGCACCAGTTCAGATTCTTCATTCCACAGTTTAATAGGGTTACTTACTGGGGGAGCTTGTTTGTGGAGTTGTCTCTAGGCTGGGTAGAGGAACACTGAGATGTGGTCTGATAGTCCAAAGTGCGGCCAAGGCACAGCCTTGTAGGCATCCTTCACATTGCTGTACACATGGTCGAGAGTATTCTTCTCCCTTGTAGGAAAGCTTACGTGTTGATGGTACTCCTGAGGTTGCAGTGTTTAAAATCACCAGCCACGATGAAGACGGCATCCGGGTGTGCAGTCTCCTGCTTGCTGATGATGTCCTGTAGCATCCCCAGCGCTGTCATGTGATCGGCTTGTTGCAGAATGCAAACAGCAAGTAACGCAGCGCTGATCTCCCTCGGTAGATAAAAGGTTCTGCATTTCAGCATTGAAAGTTAAATGTCCAGTGAACAGTGCTTTTTAACAACCTGCATATCCCCACACCATCTGTTGTTAATATACACACACACACACACAACCCCGCCTCCCCTGCTCTTCTTCGAGACCTCTGTGCGGTCTCCACGGTGGATTTAGTGTGTGGAGCAGGAGATCCGAGTTTGGCGCGCTGTCCGAAAGCCAGGTCTCAGTGAAAATAAGAGCACAACATTCTCTTATCTCATGCTGAGTTGTAGTCTTAGTTCTCAGCTCGTCCATCTTATTTTCAAGAGAGCAGAAATAAGCCAGCAGCAGGGCATGTAACCCACCTCTCTTGCCTCGTCTCCTTCATCGGTGCATCAGAGTTGCTGTGTCCTGCCGGCTGGAGTTGGCTTGGTCCAGGCGTAGGAGAAAGTCAAAGTCCAGCAGTCGATGTTTAAGTTTGTGTTGAACTTTGCTGTCCAGAAGTTCTTCCCTGCTATATCTTACACTTACATTTAACCTACACAAGCTATCAAGTATATTTGAACCTGATGTGCCAGGTGGTTTATTGCACAAAACCTTCTGGAAATGCGTCCTTGACAACTGTTAAGAAAAGGGCAAACACTTTCAAAAATACTGAAGGTGATTGACATTAGCCCAAAATAGTGATAGATGGGTCATCCAACCAATCAGAACAAGAAACCATGAAGCCAATCAGAAGGAGACCAAAAACATTTTTTCCATCGAGAAAAGCCTTTGGTTCCGTCCTTTGCTCTTGTTAACACTCTTCACTTCTGATGTAACTGATAAGCCTCACAAGATAAAAATTATTCAACTTTAACTGAATCCATTTGTTGTGGACTGCTGTAAGGTTTCCACCGTGACCCAGTACCATTAGATTACATCTTACATTTCACAGTTGAGTCTCTTCCAGCTCTCTCAGCCCTCCTTCTGATCCATTTTCAGGTTCCAGGTTACCACTCTCTACACACCAGTTTTCTCCAGATTGTTCAGTTTAGTCAAAACTCTAGTCTAGCTCAGAATTACCTGAATCCTTACTAAACTTGTGTTTACCTGTGCCTCAGGTTCTGTTGATCACTATTGTAGGTGCCATGATAAATCACAGCGGTACCATTTGTTGGTGTCAACAGTGGTTGAATTTTGATGTTTCGCCATGAAGCAGGAAATTGTCATAACTTCAGTGTACTTTGTTCAATCTCAAACTTTGCATGTTTGATAAAAGTCCCACCCTGAACACATCTACATACCAATATTCACTCACATTTGCGCTGGAGACAGGAAGTAAGCCTTGTGTGACAATTTTGATGTGATTTACATGAAATTTTCTATCTATGCATTACATGCTGGTGCGTAGGACAGTTACTGCATGTCCCAACGCAGACATTCATTGCTGTTTGCAGCTTTAATTCATTAAAATTTTTGCTCAGTGTTTGTTAACTCCCATATGTTGTGCCTGATGACAAATTTGAGTTCTGTGTTTTCTTTTCCTTAAAGCTTGGCGATTTTGCTATTAGCTCTTTGGTTATTTGAACTTTTCTCATGCAGGAAAAAACAGTTTATGAGACAGTGACACCTCTGTGAACATCCATCCATAACATCCATAGATTTGTTATTTTATCATGAATATGTGTACCGACAGAGACAAAAAACAACCGCTTTTTCCTTAAGCGATTTTTGTGCTGTGACACTTAGTGGTTATCCCTCTTCAGTGTAATCGTCATAATGTTTTGGACAATGTACACGTTGCTTCTAAAATTACATATTAAGATATTAAATGATAAACGTTAATATCAGTTATCAATATCAAGGACGAAAGTTCCATCTTTGTCTTCATTCCATTGCCATCTGTAGCCAAAACAAAACCAGTGTAACAGAAAGAGCATTTCACCATTCATTAATTCCTTACAGGTTAAAGCTTTGTTCACAAGGACAGAAATTCACTGATGTACTCCTGTATTCTACATACAGATGCAGCATCCATAAATAAATACATACAATAAATGAGGCAAACAGTGAGATATGTGGATCCTACATTTATTTCCAGACATTCATATTGAAATTACCGTACATACAGTTGTATATGCACTCGTACACATACCCGTGCTGTGAGTAGTACAGGTAGATACTTCATGCATAGTACAGTGACATTTGTATGTATATAGATGACTTGCAGTGGTAAAGATAAAAATCAATGATGATGATATCGCTAACATTTCAGCACTTCAAATAATGAGTCAAAAGAGCTTAGAATGAGTGAAATCACCTTTAAATATTTTCCCAGAAATTATCATTCTGAAAGCTGATCGAAACCAGCTGTAAAAGAAAGCATAGATCAATGGATTGAGCATTGAATTTGACCATCCAAGCCACTTAAATGCTGCAATCACAGCAACAGGTATTGTGTAATTACTCAAAGGGTTAAAGGTCATACAAAGAAAGTAAGGAGTCCAACAGATGAGAAAAACTCCCATTACAATAGCCAGAGTTTTGGTGGCCTTTCTCTCCTTCTTAATTTCAGATTTTGTGCTCTGACAGGTTGTGTTCTGGATGCTGTGTGCCTGTCTCTGTGCCACCATCAGAATCTTTAAGTAGATACTGAACATTGTGATAGCTGGGAGATAAAACCCTGAAACAATTCCCATAATTGCTAAACTTATTGTAATGTAAAATACACACTTTCTATTAGATTGTCCTTGGTTCACTCCCAAAATTGTGATGCTAATTCCATTTATAGCAGAAACAGTCCAGCTCACCAGGATCATGATCACAATAACACGGACATTTATTTTAGTTCTGTACCTCAGAGGCTGACACACTGCATAATATCTGTCAACAGAAATAAAGCACAAATTCCAAATAGAAGATGTGCACAGAAAGATATCAAAGCTGCCTCGTATCTTACAGAGTAAATCTTCAAGATACCAACAAGAGCTCACAGCCAGTACTGTGGTAAAAGGCAAAACAACAACCCCAACAAGCAGGTCAGCTACAGCGAGAGACAGGATGAGGTAGTTTGTAGGAGTGTGGAGCTGTTTGAAGTAAATGATGGAGGTTATTAAAAGAAGATTTCCACACATTATAAGAACTGATAAAGAGCCAACTAAACTACATATAAATATGTGCTGGTGGTGAGTGCGCTCATACCAGATACGTTTTCTGATTCATTACAAACATTTTTGTCCTCAAAAACATCATCAGACCTGTTGACAAAGAATTCAGCTTCCATGAAATCAAGAAAATGAACAGTGTCTGATTTTCTGTAGAGAGAACCTTTCAGTTAATATTAATGCTCTGTATGTTTCATACCATGCCTGTCAATCCTGGTTAGTGCATCTGTACTGATGGTAGTCCTTGCTCTCTGTTCCACTGAGCAGTATATTTGGTTATTATTCTGGGCTCACTAGCCTATCGTAGTGAAGATCACTGTCAAGGGAGCCTCTTAAAGGGGTACTAGTGTAATTTTGTATTCCAGTGCTATAAAGTTGGAGGATCCACAAAAGACAAATTAAAATTAAGCTGCAAGCAGTGATGAAAGGGCCCTCATAATGGCTTGGGGTCATGGAACCCGATTTTTAATGTTCTTTATGTCATAAATATGGCATTTTTGTATCTAATTTCACCAAAATTACATGGATCGTTCCATGGTATGGGAGCTCCACATAAAATCAATTTTGACCACTTTCACTGAATTGTGGGTGTTTGATTGAACTTTAGAACACTTGTGTTCTTCCCTACCGTAATTTGACCCCAGAAGGGCCATTGGGTTACACTGTGCAAACACACACACAGAGCGCATATAACTAGGGATGGGAATTGATAAGAATTTAACAATTCCGATTCCATTATCGATACTGCTTATCGATCCGATTCCTTATCGATTCTCTTATCGATTCTCATTGGGTGAGGGGATAAGTACAAATTTGTTTGTTTGTATTAACTCGCTTTAATATCTGATCAGAAGACACAGCACAGAGTATACACAAATTATGTGTAGCAACCTCAGAAAAAACCTAAAAGTAGGTGAGCTACTTCTCAAAGTCAAGTCCAGGGACCCATAGCCTAGGGCAGTGTTTCTCAGCCAGTATGCCATGGCACACTATTGTGTGCCTTGAAAGATTATCAAAGAGTGCTTTAGGATTAGGAAATTGTTAATTTTTACATTAATTGGTCCAGACAAAAAAATCAATGTTTGGCTTTTTAAGCCCAACTTCCATTATGTGCCATAAAAACTAAAAACACAGACTGAAATAGACTGGCCATTTCCTTCACATCAAAAAGGAGGACACTTTGCATACACGGGGACACGCAAGCAGGTATTTGTTTGGTGTGATCCGGTTTTAAATTTTAATGTTTTTCCACCAGATTACATAAAGGTGCATACACATACCACATAGCTAATAATAAATATACAAGATACAGCTCATGACAACTTGCCCTCCAGTTCAGATTACATAGGTCTAATAAACATCATACAGAAACTGTTCTTAATGTTTTTATCTGGATAGATAAAGGGTAACATTAAGTTCTCTGTGCTGAGAACTTGATTGACAGCCTGGGTGAGCCCTATTGGAATCAACACATGGCTCATTTGAATATTAAAATTAGCCATGCGTTGATAGGTCACCACAAGAACATGTAACCAGTGAAATTACTTATTTTGACACACATTTTTAGCCAATAAGTATAATATTTTTTGTGCAGAAAATGATCATGTCATTTAAAGTTACTTTCGGCATTGATAACAGATGGCATCCCGTTAGCTGCCATGCGGCTTAACTCACTTGTGTCGCTAGGTAGTAGTGTATCAAACACGTGACAGTCCTGCAAATGAATTGATGCTGTGTGGCCAAATGTTTCTGCATATTGGAGGTAGTTCCCCCTTTGACGAAATGGAAACTTTACAAGTGTTGCAAGTGACCATATTGTCATCTTTTCGCGTGAAATATAACCAAACTTAAGAGCAGTTCTGCCTTGACGCCATGTTCACTGCGTTCTGAACCAAAACAACGCAGCGCGTGTGTGACGTCATGACGCATTTGCAACAAGCGGAACCGATAAGCGGAATCGTTAAGCAGACATGCTAACTGTTCCAAGGAATCAATTCAGTGGGCACCGGTTCTGAAGAAGAACCAGTTTTCAATTCCCATCCCTACATATAACGCACACACACGCATATAACATACACACACACACACACCACAAATACACACACACACCCTGAATGACAACAGGTGTCATTATTTGTCACTATTGAAAAAAATTAAATGCTTTCAAAACGTAGTCCTGACTAAACTTTGACATATACCGGACTGTGATTATCAGTCAACATATATTCCTATTATATTAACTATAGTCAAAACTATTCAGATTTTTAGCTTTTTTTTAAACAAAAAACGCAACATAATTTCGCATAAATGAGGTTTACTGACCCTAAATTAAAGAAATTTGGGTCAAGCTTGGTGTTAATGAGTTGGTATTGAGTTGACTAATAAGGTGAAACACAGTATTGGATCATAATGCATACCCTATGTTTTTGAAACAAGTCAAACCAGACTGGGGTCAAATTCATGATGGAGGAACACAACTGCATAGTCAATGGGAAGGTATTATGAGGGTTAAAGGGGTACTAGTCTAATTTAGTATTAGAGTGCTGTAAAGTTGGAGGACTCACAAGTAACCGATTAAAGTAAGAAACCAAAGCAGCAGAAGCCAAGATAGCCTCACTTTTAGTTCTTTGAATGTGTCATGTGCTAAAAATTCTGGATCTCAGAATTTCTTGATGCATTAAAACAAAATATTCAACAGACATGTGGGAGCATTGATAGCTGATAGACTGATAGCTGTGAGTAGGCCTATTTACAAAATGGAAACATGCTCTCTCTGCCCCTTCCTGTAACTATTAAGTAAAGGCAATAAAAGCCCATCTATATTATGGATTGCCATTTATGAATTATTTATAATATGAAATTAAAATATATGGAATAAAAGTCTGACTATATGGAATGAAGTTTTAATATATGGAATGAAATGTCACGTGATCAAGGCACTGCACCATCTGTGTTTTCGATACCAGCCTAATATTATTCCATAAGGATGTTACTGCAAGAAGTGTTGGAGTGAGCCTGCATTGAATCTGTAAGAAGCAGTCCTAACTGATGAAGAGATAATTAACATAAATGTTCAAACACAATGCATAGAAAGCAGCAAAAGGTTTAATGTGGTTAAAGCAGGAAAGTCGGTAAAACAGTCACTGATCTATGAATGAATGTGGACAATTCTTACAGTATCTGCTGTCCACAACTGCTTTATATTGTATAAAAGCTTCTCCTTCCGTTCATGAAGTCACTGCACCATCTGAAGGCATGGACGGATATGTTAAGAGGGCAGTGTCTTTACGCACGACTGTTCGCTGAGTATACCTTCATTAAATCACCTAAAAAAAACAGTAGACTGCTTCAATATAACCATACAGAGCTCTACACACATCAGACTGGTTGGATATAACTCGATATTCTGCTTTTAATGAAGGAGACGTCTGGTTACCAGGTCTTATCATAGCCTCATCCAACTTTCATTTTGGCAGGTTGCGCTGCTGAACATACAGTATATGGACCAAATTAGAAGGTGCGCATGGAGAAGCCTATACTGTCTGTGTGTTATAAGACCAACTTGCTTGACATTAAGAGTGCAAATAATTAAACTCAGGGTGTTTGTATGTTTGCATGCTTGTAGAACCGGGCCTGTGTATAAAATGACTGATTACATATTATAAAAAAATAATAATAAAAAAATCAAGATATCAAAAATCTGGTGGGGAATGTGCCCTTCCAGATTGAAATGGTGCTTGAATAGGCATGACTATCTTGACTATTCAGCATTCATTCAATATATCCAAGTTTCATTCAATATATAAAAGACGTTGCCTAAAAAGAACAAGATCTAAGGTTTAACAGAAGTAAACAGACACACTTTCATTGGTTTAATGGCCATTAAAACCGGTTTAACTAATGGAGCCAAGTGAATGTTTTTACCTGCTTTTTGGCAAATAAAAGTTGTGTGCAACTTTATGTTGAATATAAAGATAGGAGCCTGTTGCATGTGTGTACTGAAAATATTTGTATTGCTTATTCTTAGGCATTTTCTACCATTTTAGGAAAAAACAGCTGTCCCTTGTGCCCAAAGACATTAAATATAGTTTGATGATCAATTGGCTGTATCTCAGAAACCAGAAGGAACACAAAGGTATTTCGTGTCAATGAACTCATAACAAGTAAAATGTCAATGACATGCACACATATACAGTGTTTAAAAAATTCATATGAAAAACATTTAATGAACACAATTTTTGCATTTTTCCTATTTAAAAAAAACTTTTTATATCCAGTTATATCTATCGATCAAGCCTGATGAAATGAACAATTAGTTACAAGCATGCCTTGAGGACATAAAAACGGATATGTCCTTTAACTCCCACATGAAGCAAACTTTTAGGACTGCCTTTTTTCACTTACATGGGTTAGGGGTTATTGATATCAATGAACTCATAACAAGTTATGCAAAGATATGCACGCATACACATGAGGACGAAATTATTAGCCCCCTATGAAAAGTTCCTTTTTTTTTTTAAGTATTTCCCAAGTGCTATTAAACAGAGCAAAGAATGTTTAACATAGCTTTTTCAAACATCCTAATTTTATTTTGGATGCTTAGATTATTTTACTTTGCACACAGAAACAAAATAGTTTCACAAAAACCAAAAACTACCAGGGTCAAAATTATTAGCCCCCTTAACTGACCTTTTTATTGAGCCATAGCACAAACCACTGTTGTGCAATGCTGTGCTTTAACTTTGTAATGCTCAAAGCTTGTAAAATCAATTCAAAACTGAGGGTTATCTCCTAGTTTACACACAGTATAAAAACTTGAGTAAGGGTTTGAGCTGTTACTTGAGAAAGCATCATGCCAAAAACAACAGAAATCAGTTTAGACCCAAGAAAAAGAATTGTCGATGCTCACAAAGCAGGAGAAGGATATACAAAGTTATCACAGTGTTTCCAAGTGTCAAGAACTGGAGTGAGAAGTATCATCAAGAAATTCAAAGAGAGCCACACAGTACAGAACAAGCCTGGCAGAGGTAGGAAGCGAAAGATTTCAAAGACCCTGGAAAGAAAACTAGTGAGAGATGTGTCTATAGACCCCAGAACAAGTGCCAAGACACTAGTGAATGACTTAGCGAAGTCGGGAATTGTAGTCTCAAAGAAGACAATCACTAGAGCTCTGCACAGGAATGGACTGCGAGGTTGCAGACCAAGAAAAACTCCACTTCTGCAGAAGAGACACCTTCAAGCCAGACTGAAGTATGCTAACGACAACCTGGAGAAAGATTATGCATACTGGAAGCATGTCCTTTGCTCAGATGAGATGAAAATAGAGCTCTTTGACCATAGAGACATTGCTTATGTTTGGAGAAAGAAGGGAGAGGCGTATAACCCAAAGAACACCGTCCCCACAGTGAAACACGGTGGTGGGAGTATTATGCTGTGGGGATGCTTCAGTGCATCTGGAACTGGGAATCTCGTCAAGGTGGAAGGAATCATGAAGAAAAAAGGTTATGTGAAGATTTTGAAAGAAAACCTTAAGCAGTCAGCAGCAAAACTGGGTCTGGGTCGTCGCTTTGTCTTCCAACACGATAACAACCCAAAACATACGTCGCTCCTGGTAAAGAACTACCTCCCGAAGAACGTTATTGACTGGCCTGCACAAAGCCCTGACTTGAACCCAATTGAAAATCTGTGGGGCGAACTGAAGACCAAGGTCCATGCCAAAAGGCAATCAAATCTGGAGGAGCTTGAGAGATATGCCAAAGAAGAATGGGCTTGGATTCCTCAGGATAATGTGTCAGAGACTTGTTGAAAACTACAACAAACGACTGCAGGCTGTTATCCAGCAAAAAGGTTACACAATTGACTATTAGCATCAGGGGGGCTAATAATTTTGACCCTGGTAGTTTTTGTATTTTGTGAAATAATTTAGTTTCTGTGTGCAAAGTAAAATAGCGCTTGGTAAATACTTTTAAAAAATGAAATTTTCATAGGGGGGCTAATAATTTCGTCCTCATGTGTATATAGTGTTAAAAAAATCCTTATGGAAAACATTTAATAGACACCATTTTTGCATTTTTTTCTCATTTTTGAGTTATATCCATCGATCAAGCCTGATGAAATTTTCAATTAGCTAAAGTATAAGGATGACTTAAGGACATACAAATCTGGATGTCCTGCAATTTTCTGATGTTAACTCAAACTAAACTCAAGTTCTTGTACTTGGGCCTAAACATCTCCGAAACTCTTTATCTAAAGATATTGTTACTCTAGATGGTATTACCTTAGCCTCCAGCACTACCATCAGGGAGCTTTGCATTATCTTTGATCCGGATATGTCCTCTAACTCCCACCCATATAAAGCAAACTTCTAGGACTGCCTTTTTTCCACTTACGTAACATTGCAAATTCTGACACATCCTGTCACAGAAAGATCCATAGAAACTAGTAAAATAGATAATATCTTATTGTTATCTTATTGTTATATAATAATAATAATAGTTGTGATATATAATAATAATACTTTTATTCTTATTGTTATTATTTTTATTATATAACAATAAGATATTATCTATTGTATGTATATCTTCTTGTATAGTCAAGTATCTATCATACATATGCTATATATCATATCATATCTTGTGCATGTATATGTGTACATATTATATATATATATATTGTGCATATATATTACAGTATGTATGTATGCACACCTTGCACAGGCTTAATATATGACACATGTTTACATTATATCAATATTAATGTATAATATCTATGTGTATACTTGTATATCTGTTCAGTCATCATATTATATAGACATATTGTCATTATATTATTATAAATATTATTAATATTATCATTATATACTGTATTATATACTGTTATTAAAATAACACTACCATCATGTCATCAGTACTATACCACCATCTTGCAACTACAACTCTTTGCACCTTACCTACCTATTTTTTTTTTAAATCTTTTCTATCTAAGCATTTTATCCTATTGTTGCATTTTATTGTATTTTAATGTACCTGCCTGCTATGACGACCCAATTTCCCTCCGGGGATTAATAAAGTCTATCTATCTATCTATCTAGTCCATGCATTTGTAACTTCTAGGCTGGATTACTGCAACTCCTTATTATCAACCTGCCATAATAAGACCATAAAGATGTGACAACATATTTCATAAAAGAAGTAAGTTAACATAACTTAATCCTCACAAAAAATTGGAGTCACTCATTCACATGAATTAAATCTAACTAAAAACTGAGTTGTTGAAGTAACTCACTTGGTTTGAGTGCACTTAGATGTGTGCAGTATTTTAAGTATTTGCGATATAATTTAATTTGTTCCATTGACTTATTTTCTTTAAGGTGACTTTATGTCAGTATAGAAATGTAAACATTATGATTCAGAATAGCTTAAAATAACATAGAATATGTTATATATGCCCGAGTATGCATCCAAATAATTCTTAATGATCGCCCAAAGTGTAAAGATTTGATGTTAGTCACAATGTTTTTACAGCTGTTGCTGTCTGAATAAGGTAACTTTATTCAGATAAATTCTGTTCACACATTTTAAGTAAGTTTGGAGAAATGCTGCATACAAGTGTAACTTCAAATAACTGAATGGAATTGGTACAATGAACTTTATTTACCCAAGTTACCTTCACAATAAATACACAAGTTGATTCTACTCAAATCAAACATCTTTCAGAATCAGTCTATGCTGGGGACACAGTAAATAGCTATGATCATCAAGGACCACAAAAACAGACAGGTTCTCTGCTTTGTCTTGGATTCACAGCATCTTCAAAAGTGTAAAAGCAGAGAAAATGAGAATTTGCATGAAAAAGTGCCTGTACACTATTTACACAATTTTGTACAGTAAAACTGTACATCTTTCTTCAGTGTAATCTTCATATTGTTGTGGAAAATGTACAACTTGTTGCTAACATTTTCTGCTTTAATTTATTTAAATCTTAGAATCTGTAAATGGAAAAATCTTATTCAGTAATTTACAGTTACCCTGCTCTATTTAATATTTAGACTGATGAAACTGAAAACTAATCGAAGAGCAAGATAATTTCACCATTCATTGATTTGTTACAGGTCAGTTTAAAGCTTTTCTTACGGAGACAAAAACTCAGTGATGCACTCCTGCATTCAACAAACAGATACAGCGTCTATTACTGATTAACAGTAAATAAGCCGAACAGTAAGATATATTTATCCTACTGTTTTTTTTAGACATTCACAGTGAGATTATCATGCAGTTGAATATGTACTGCTATCTGTGCAGTGAGTTTTATATACAGATATTTTATGCACAGTACAGTGACATTTTTTATGAAGGCCTATATATGACATGCAATGTTCAATGATGACATTTCAACACATAATGAGTCAAAAGAGCTTAGAATGAGTGAAATCCCCTTGAAATATTTTCCCAGAAATTATCATTCTAAAAGCTGATCGAAACCGGCTGTAAAAGAAAGAAAATTCAGTGACATACTCATGAATTCAACAGATGCAGCGTCAATAACTAAATATATACATTAAATGAGGTGAACTATAAGATTAATTCATCTGTTGATTTTTAAAGTTTTTTTTTACAGACATTCACATTGAGATTACCATACTGTCCTGCTACTACAAGTCATATACATACTTTATGGATAGTAAAGCAACCCTTTTTAAGAAGGCCTATATATATGACATGCAATGGAAAAGAGATGTTATGTGCCAAACTAAGGAGGATTTTACTGATATTTCCATACTTCAAATAATGAGTCAAAAGAGCTTAGAATGAGTGAAATCACCTTGAAATATTTTACCAGAAATTATCATTCTGAAAGCTGATCGAAACCAGCTGTAAAAGAAAGCATAGACCAATGGATTGAGCATTGAATTTGACCATCCAAGCCACTTAAATGCTGCAATCACAGCAGCTGGTATTGTGTAATTACTCAAAGGGTTAAAAGTCGTAGAAAGAGTAAAAGGAGTCCAACACATAAGAAAAACTCCCATTACAATAGCCAGAGTTTTGGTGGCCTTTCTCTCCTTCTTAATTTCAGACTTTGTGCTCTGACAGGTTGTGTTGTGGATGCTGTGTGCCTGTCTCTGTGCCACCATCAGAATCTTTAAGTAGATAGTGACCATTACAATAGCTGGGAAATAAAACCCAAAAACAACTGCCATAATTGCTGAACTTAAATTCTGAAATAAAACACACCTGTTAGATTGTCCTTTGTTCACTCCCAAAATTGTGATGCTAATTCCATTTATAGCAGAAACAGTCCAACACACCAGGATCATGATCACAATAACACGGACATTTATTTTAGTTCTGTACCTCAGAGGCTGACACACTGCATAATATCTGTCAACAGAAATAAAGCACAAGTTTAAAATAGAAGATGTGCACAGAACGAGATCAAAGCTGCCTCGTATCTTGCAGAGTAAACCTCCAACATACCCACAAGAGCTCACAGCCAGTACCGCGCTAAAAGGCAAAACTGTGACCCCAACAAGCAGGTCAGCTACTGCGAGAGAGAGGATGAGGTAGTTTGTAGGAGTGTGGAGCTGTTTGAAGTAAATGATGGAGGTTATTAAAAGAAGATTTCCACACATTATAAGAACTGATAAAGAGCTAACTAAAATACATAACAAATATGTGCTGGTGGTGAGTGCGCTCATACCAGATACATTTTCTGATTCATTACAAACTTTTTTGTCCTCAAAAACATCATCAGACCTGTTGACAAAGAATTCAGCTTCCATTAAATCAAGAAAATGAACCGTGTCTGATTTTCTGTTAATGCTCTGTATGTTTCATAACATGCCTGTCAATCCTGGTTAGTGCATCTGTACTGATGGTAGTCCTTGCTCTCTGTTCCACTGAGCAGTATATTTGGTTATTATTCTGGGCTCACTAGCCTATCATAGAGAAGATCATTGTCAAGGGAGCCTCTTAAAGGGATACTAGTTTAACCCTCGAGGCACCTTGGGGGACCAAATGTGTACATTCTGCCTTTTTAACTTGTTTGATTCTCAATATATCGGTCAGGCTAATTGTATGAAACTTGGCCAGGATTTGTTTTTATTATTATTTTCAAAATTCCATGATCCCCTCTATTGTAAGGTGTATAGGATAGGAGATTTGCATCAATACCTACAACCTCTCACCTCGGGCCCGACTTGGACACATTGACTCCCATTATAACCACATATTTTTGGTTGACACAGAATTAAGATTCCATGCATAAATGATCACTAACACCTGAGATAACATTTGCAATAACTGGTGGAGATGGGTCCGCCTACAGGTGGGAGATTGACCATCTGGTGACCAGGTGCAGCCAGAACAACCTGGAGCTTAACGCTCTAAAGACAGTGGAGATGGTTGTGGACTTCAGGAAGAACCCAGCCCCACCTGCCCCCATTATGCTGTGTGACTCCCCACTTGACTCTATGGAGTACATCATCCAGGACCCCAAGTGAGAGCTGAACATCAAAAATACATAATAAATATGTGGTGGTGAGTGCGCTATTACCATATACATTTTCTGATTGATTACATTAAGTTTTGTCCACATCATCAGAACTGTTGACACAGAATTAAGATTCCATGCATAAATGATCACTAACACTAAGATAACATTTGCAATAACACCTTAAATCAAGAAAATTAAATGTTTCTAGTTTTGTGTAGAGAGAGACGTCCAGTAAGCAAGGGAACACTGGTGTATCCTACACAGAAGTCTTTTATCAAGTGGCGTGGGTGTGAGGTCCGTGTATCTTTTGGTCATTGGATTTTCCTTTCAGAAACGGGTATTAAAAAACAGAAAACGAGTGGTTATTTGATTTTTGTTTTAAAATACAAAAATTAAAATTGAAATACAAGGTGTTTTTCTTTTTCATGGTCAAAAGGGGATGAGCGAAATTTAAAAAATTATTCGATTTTCATTTTCTATTTCATATAACAAAAAATAAAATCACTAGAAAACAGAAACGGAAAAAAAGGCCTGTTTTTTCATATTCTGAGACCGGATGTTGTCATTTACAGGACGGTGCTGTGTAGAAGAAACAGTAGGGTAGTAGACTGCGGTCAATCCAGCTGTGACTTCGATCTCCGTGGTCAAATCAGCCGCACTTAAATTTCGAGTGTACAAGTAATCTCAGCATTATGGTAAATGCGGAGAAACAGCGTATTCACTTCCGGTTTTCAAAATAAGGGTATTAATAACAGTAAGCTATAATTCGAAACCTACATTTAAAAGTGTGTAAAAGTCAAATATACCATCAGTAGCCAGGAAACACTGAGCAATATGTTTTTACAGTACCTCAAATATGGTCAAATGCGCAATCTCTGGAGGCATAAATATGAGACTTTTATTTTGGCATTTCTCCACACTGGTGCAGTAAAGATACTTGATATGAAGTGTTTTTTATTCATCAGAGTCGCATGAAACACTTTAATGTAACATATTTTAATTATAGCTTACTGTTCTAAATACCTTTATTTTGAAAACCGGACGTGAATACGCTGTTTCTCCGCATTCATCATAATGTTGAGAATACTTGTACACTCGAAATTTAAGTGCGGCTGATTTGACCACGGAGATCGAAGTCACAGCTGGATTGACCGCAGTCTACTACCCTACTGTTTCTTCTACACAGCACCGTCCTGTAAATGACAACATCCGGTCTCAGAATATAAAAAAAGAGCAAGGTACGTTTTATCAGTCTGTTTTCTGGGAATAATTGACACAAGCAGAAACCAAAAAACAAGCAGTTTTTTCATTTTTTCGTTTTGTCAAAAAAAAGAAAAATCAAAAGTTCAGCTCGTTTACTAGTTTTTTGGTTCTTACTTAACAAAACGAATTTGCCGCTCAATATCTTGTTTCCGTCGGTGGGCGGGTCCTCTGATTGGCTAGTGTGCTTCGTTGCCCTGTGCTCTTCAAAATAAAAGTTCTTCCGTTTGATGTCGACAAAAATATTACTGTATTATAGACACTAGCAGACACAGAGGACCCAATCACCCACAGTCAAGACTGACACGGCTTCAAATAACAATAATAGTATTCTTAATCATTCTTAATCGACTTCAGTGCAGTTGATGTTTAGCCACAAGGTGGCGCAGTTATTACATGACAGCTGAACATTGCGCATCTGTTGACCTTTATCCATTTACAGTAAACAAATTATTTTTTCTTGTTGAAAGATATTTTATATTGTTTTCAAATTATTATTTACTGACGGTGATTACAGAATGCGAGTGTGTGTTATACTGAAAGCGAGGCTGGGTGTGCCTATGAATATAGGCTACAGTGAGTTTTTTAAGGTGCTGTACAAGCAAATCATATTGTCTACTCTGTACAGTGACAAAGAGTGTACAGTAACCTACTTCATTCAATATTGAATAGGCTACTGTAGCCTACACTATAAACAAATGGTTTTGCTCTTTGCTCATGGCAGTTGTGACAGTCCTTGTGTTTTGTCCTGGGATGACAATACAAGACTTCCATAAATGTGCATTTGATAGAGAGTTTGCTTTGTATTCCAGCCGGCCTGTTATGAGCAAATTTCTATAGGCTACTATAGATCCATTTCAAAACATGTTCCAAGTAGGCTATAGGACAAAGCATAATACATCCTGGAATGAGTGAAGCTTGCCTGCTGACATGTTAAAATGACTGTCACAACTGCCATGAGCAAAGAGCAAAACCATTTGTTTATAGTGTAGGCTACAGTAGCCTATTCAATATTGAATGAAGTAGGTTACTGTACACTCTTTGTCACTGTACAGAGTAGACAATATGATTTCCTTGTACAGCACCTTAAAAAACTCACTGTAGCCTATATTCATAGGCACACCCAGCCTCGCTTTCAATATAACACACACTTGCATTCTGTAATGAACTTTGGTTTTTCGTTTTTTTGACAAAACGAAAAAACGGCTTGTTTTTTGGTTTCTGCTTGTGTCAATTATTCCCAGAAAACAGACTGATAAAACGTACCTTGCTCGAAAAACAGGCCTTTTTTCCATTTCTGTTTTCTAGTGATTTTATTTTTTGTTATATGAAATAGAAAATGAAAATGAAATAATTTTTTTTGACCATGAAAAAGAAAAACGCCTTGTATTTCAATTTAAATTTTTGTATTTTAAAACGAAAATCAAATAACCACTCGTTTTCTGTTTTTTAATACCCGTTTCTGAAAGGAAAATCGAATGACCAAAAGATACACGGACCGTGTGATCTAAGAATACCCCTCCTCTATATGGAACATGTACATGTGGAGTGCCATTGAGTGCGTATGTTTGTCATGATTGAAAACCTAAAAATTGATAGTATTAAAAAACAAAGTTTAATTCACACAGTTTATTCTCATAGCTTTTATTCTGTAGTGTCTGTATGGGGATCTACACATAATATAGAATACATGAGAGTTACATGCTGAGATGCAGTATAATGTGCCATCACGTTGTGTGTGATAATTTTAATTTATTTTTTATTTAATTTACTTGATCAATCTCAAAGTGTTGTCCAAATAACAATAATGCAAGTAAACAGGCTACATAACCAAAGTAATCATAACAAATAACATTGATCTGTACATAAATTAGAATGCACATATTTAAAATTAATATTAAATGGTCAGCAACAGTAATAATACTATTAAAATGGGAAATAATTAACAATTTAAATATCTAAATGAATACTGCAATGTTTTGAAATTGTTCTTAAAAGATTTTGTGGACATTCGTACCAGTTTTGACAGGTCATAAAACTGTGCAGTACGTCATAGGTAACAGATGTTGCTTACTGAAATTGTGGAAGCAAGTGAGTAACAGTCAGTAGTATGAAGTCTGCATCTATCATTATGAAAACTAGTGGATGTGGACCCCTGCAATATGGCGGCCGTGCAAACGTATAGCGGAGGCATTCAGCAGTGACCAATGAGATATCTATGTTTCTATATCTATGAAGGTTTGGATCCAAGTGTGTGTTTTGTACGTCTGGACATGATACATGCGCCTACTGATTTTCAGACATGTCAAAACAGGCCATCTGGGCTGCCTTTCTGAAATTTTGAAGGGGGCACTATCGAGCCATTTTGCCACACCCACGCGCAAGACCCATATGAGGTGTAAATCTTTGTGGTTTGTAACATGTGTGCCGAATATCTTGAGCTTTTCATTTTTAGTCTCTCAAAAAAGCCATCAGCTGTTAAAATTAAATTTGCTGTGTTGCCCAAGCAACAGATTTTCACAAAAGCTCACAAGATTCAATCGTATCATCATCAACATGGTAAAGGTGTTCTGACCAAATTTCAACTGGACCTGGTCAACCTGTAAGTAGTAGGACATTAAACTATAGAACATGACACTGTGCTAGACATGTGCATTTTGGTGCTGATTGGACAAGTTACAATTACTGTTTCTTCGCGAAAGATCATAATTCAATCCTAAACCTCTGACATGCCATGACATTTAGATTATACTGAACAACTTTAAAGTCGATCTGATCATATCCCTAGGAGGTGTTTGTTAAAGTACAACACGTGCAAAGTCCAAAAATGAACACTAAATTCATAATGTCCTACTTCCTGTTGGGTTCGGGGTATGGGTCCAAGAGGCTTTTTTCTACATTTGCACATGATACAGTTTAAACCCTTATGACACAAACATTTTTGCCACTGCCAAAGATTGTTCTTATGAGTATTGGGGCATGTTGCGGCCTGTGTGACTTTTAGTTTTTAGTATGGCTCAACTTAAAAAATTCTGATTCTGATAACATCACCAGTCTTATGGCTAGAAAACTACACACGCCAATATATATTTTTTCATTGTTTTAATCCTGTATTTTGGTGTCTCAAAAATTCATAGATGTATTCCTGAATTCAACATACAGATGCAGCATCTATAACTGAATATATAAAGTGAATGAGGCGAACTATGAGATATAGTCATCTTACTAACATACTGTTTTAACAT